AGTAGTAGTAGTAGTAGTAGTAGTAGTACAGTACAGTATGTACAGTAGTAGTAGTAGTAGTAGTAGTAGTAGTAGTAGTAGTAGTAGTAGTAGTAGTAGTAGTAGTAGTAGTAGTAGTAGTGTAGTAGTAGCAGTAGTAGTAGTAGTAGTAGTAGTAGTAGTAGTAGTAGTAGTAGTAGTAGTAGTAGTAGTAGTAGCAGCAGTAGTAGTAGTAGTAGTAGATGTATTATGTAGTAGTAGTAGTAATAGTAGTAGTAGTAGTAGTAGTAAGTAGTAGTAGTAGTAGTAGTAGTAGTAGTAGTAGTAGTAGCAGCAGTAGTAGTAGTAGTAGCGTCAGTAGTCGTAGTAGTAGTAGTAGTAGTAGTAGTAGTAGTAGTAATAGTAGTAGTAGTAGTAGTATAGTAGTAGTAGTAGTAGTAGTAGTAGTAGTAGTAGTAATAGTAGTAGTAGTAGTAGTAGTAGTAATAGTAGTAGTAGTAGTCGTCGTCGTCGTCGTAGTCGTAGTAGTTAGTAGTAGTTAGTAGTAGTAGTAAGTAAGTAGTAAGTAGTAGTAGTAGTAGTAGTAGTAGTAGTAGTAGTAGTAGTAGTAGTAGCAGTAGTAGTAGTAGTAGTAGTAGTAGTAGTAGTAGTAGTAGTAGTAGTAGTAGTAGTACAGTAGTAGTAGTAGTAGTAGCAGTAGTAGTCGTAGTAGTAGTAGTAGTAGTAGTAGTAGTAGTAGTAGTAGTAGTAGTAGTAGTAGTAGTAGCAGTAGTAGTAGTAGTAGTAGTAGTAGTAGTAGCAGTAGTAGCAGTAGTAGTAGTAGTAGTAGTAGTAGTAGTAGTAGTAGTAGTAGTAGTAGTAGTAGTAGTAGTAGTAGTAGAGTAGTAGTAGTAGTAGTCAGTAGTAGTAGTAGTAGTAGTAGTAGTAGTAGCAGTAGTAGCAGTAGCAGTAGTAGCAGTAGTAGTAGTAGTAGTAGTAGTAGTAGTAGTAGTAGTAGTAGTAGTAGTAGTAGTAGTAGTAGTAGCAGTAGTAGCAGTAGTAGTAGCAGCTAGTAGTAGTAGTAGTAGTAGTAGTAGTAGTAGTAGTAGTAGTAGTAGTAGTAGTAGTAGTAGTAGTAGTAGTAGTAGTAGTAGTAGTAGTAGTAGTAGTAGTAGTAGTAGTAGTAGTAGTACAGTAGTAGCAGTAGTAGCAGTAGTAGTAGTAGTAGTAGTAGTAGTAGTAGTAGTAGTAGTAGTAGTAGTAGTAGTAGTAGTAGTAGTAGTAGTAGGCAGTAGTAGTAGTAGTAGTAGTAGTAGTAGTAGTAGTAGTAGTAGCAGTAGTAGTAGTAGTAGTAGTAGTAGTAGTAGTAGTAATAGTAGTAGTAGTAGTAGTAGTAGTAGCAGTAGTAGTAGTAGTAGTAGTAGTAGTAGTAGTAGTAGTAGTAGCAGTAGTAGTAGTAGTATAGTAGTAGTAGTAGTAGTAGTAGTAGTAGTAGTAGTAGCAGTAGTAGTAGTAGTAGTAGTAGTAGTAGTAGTAGTAGTAGCAGTAGTAGTCGTAGTAGTAGTAGTAGCAGTAGTAGTAGTAGTAGTAGTAGTAGTAGTAGTAGTAGTAGTAGTAGTAGTAGTAGCAGTAGTAGTAGTAGTAGTAGTAGTAGTAGTAGTAGTAGTAGCAGTAGTAGTAGTAGTCGTCGTAGTAGTTGTAGTAGTTGTAGTAGTAGTAATAATAGTAGTAATAGTAGTAGTAGTAGTAGTCGTCGTCGTCGTCGTAGTAGTTGTAGTAGTTGTAGTAGTAGTAGTAAGTAGTAGTAGTAGTAGTAGTAGTAGTAGTAGTAGTAGTAGTAGTAGGTTTGCGTGTGGTTTGGACTCGTCTTGTGGTTTTGGTCTGAACATTAAGAACTGACCAATCAGACGCCTTCTTTCCCCGAGGCTCCTCCCACTGACCTTAGCAACGGGTTTGATTGACAGAGCTTCTCTCCAATCAGGAGTGAGGCTGTTTTATGAGATGCTCCACCCCCTGATCGTCTCCATGGAGATGTGATTCCTGTTCCTGAATGTTCCACAGTCGTCTCCATGGAGACGAGCACACGTTTACTTCTTTAGATCCTAAAAGTGTTTTTAATATTTACACACAGAAGTGAAAGTGAAAGTGAAAGTGAAAGCAGGTGGTTGGTCCGGGCTCAGGTACAGGTCAGGTCTGTGAAGAGGCGAGCACACTCCACTCACACATTTATTAAGACGAAAACACCTGTGGTGGAATAAACGTCAGATTAAAGTCACACTGTGGAACATTTCCAGACGGAGCAGTAGTATGTGCTCGTCTCCATGGCGACAGCGCTCAGACCCTCAGACTCTGTAAATCCAGTTTGGTGTTTGGTCCGTGTGACCTCGGCGCAGTATCCAGAGTATTCATGTCCTCCAAGTATAAATACACAAAGTATTAATACACAAATATGTGACGCCTCCACCGCACGACTGCAGTACAAGTACACAAGTGTAGTACTACATCTAAACCAGGACTAAACCAGGTCTAAACCAGGACTAAACCAGGTCTAAACCAGGACTAAACCAGGCCTAAACCGGGTCTAAACCAGGACTAAACCAGGACTAAACTGGGTCTAAACCAGGTCTAAACCAGGACTAAACCAGGACTAAACCAAGTCTAAACCAGGACTAAACCAGAACTAAACTGGGTCTAAACCAGGTCTAAACTAGGACTAAACCAGGACTAAACCAGGACTAAACCAGGACTAAACCAGGTCTAAACCAGGTCTAAACCAGGTCTAAACCGAGTCTAAACCGGGTCTAAACCAGGACTAAACCAGGTCTAAACCAGGTCTAAACCGAGTCTAAACCGGGTCTAAACCAGGACTAAACCAGGACTAAACCAGGTCTAAACCAGGTCTAAACCAGGACTAAACCAGGTCTAAACCAAGACTAATCCAGGTCTAAACCAGGACTAAACCAGGTCTAAACCAGGAAACTAAACCAGGTCTAAAACCAGGACTAAACCAGGACTAAACAGGACTAAACCAGGCCTAAACCAGGTCTAAAACCAGGACTAAACCAGGTCTAAATCCAGGACTAAACCAGGACTAAACCAGGTCTAAACCAGGACTAAACCAGGTCTAAATCAGGACTAAACCAGGACTAAACCAGGTCTAAACCAGGACTAAACCAGGACTAAACCAGGACTAAACCAGGTCTAAACCAAGTCTAAATAGGTCAGATCTTGGTGGGTTTAAATATTGATGTTGAGTGTGAGTGCACAGAGTGTCCAGCAGAGGGCGCCATGTGAACAAACCCAACACACGAGCCTCTGTGTCACAGCTCTCTCTCTCTCTCTCTCTCTCTCTCTCTCTCTCTCTCTCTCTCTCTCTCTCTCTCTCTCTCTCTCTCTCTCTCTCTCTCTCTCTCTCTCTCTCCTCTCTCTCTCTCTCTCTCTCTCTCTCTCTCTCTCTCTCTCTCTCTCTCTCCTCTCTCTCTCTCTCTCTCTCTCTCTCTCTCTCTCTCTCTCTCTCTCTCTCTCTCTCTCTCTCTCTCTCTCCTCTCTCTCTCTCTCTCTCTCTCTCTCTCTCTCTCTCTCTCTCTCTCTCTCTCTCTCTCTCTCTCTCTCTCTCTCTCTCTCTCTCTCTCTCTCTCTCTCTCTCTCTCTCTCTCTCTCTCTCTCTCTCTCTCTCTCTCTCTCTCTCTCTCTCTCTCTCTCTCTCTCTCTCTCTCTCTCTCTCTCTCTCTCTCTCTCTCTCTCTCTCTCTCTCTCTCTCTCTCTCTCTCTCTCTCTCTCTCTCTCTCTCTCTCTCTCTCTCTCTCTCTCTCTCTCTCTCTCTCTCTCTCTCTCTCTCTCTCTCTCTCTCTCTCTCTCTCTCTCTCTCTCTCTCTCTCTCTCTCTCTCTCTCTCTCCCTCTCTCTCTCTCTCTCTCTCTCTCTCTCTCTCTCTCTCTCTCTCTCTCTCTCCTCTCTCTCTCTCTCTCTCTCTCTCTCTCTCTCTCTCTCTCTCTCTCTCTCTCTCTCTCTCTCTCTCTCTCTCTCTCTCTCTCTCTCTCTCTCTCTCTCTCTCTCTCTCTCTCTCTCTCTCTCTCTCTCCTCTCTCTCTCTCTCTCTCTCTCTCTCTCTCTCTCTCTCTCTCTCTCTCTCTCTCTCTCTCTCTCTCTCTCTCTCTCTCTCTCTCTCTCTCTCTCTCTCTCTCTCTCTCTCTCTCTCTCTCTCTCTCATCTCTTCATTCATCCGTGAGTTTCTCTTTTCTTCGTCCTTTTCTCAGTCTAAACCAGACCCGGTCTAGCGCTGGTCTCTGGACTTGGTCTCTGTACCTGGTCTGGACCTGGTCTGGACCTGGACTCGGGTCTCGGGGTCTCGGTCCGGACTCGCTCTTCAGACTTTAGACCTGGTTTTTGGACCTAAACTGGATCTTTTTGCGTCTGCATCTTTTTGAATTATTGAAAGAGAAGAAGAAGCAGCAGCAGCTGTCAGACTCCATTTACCACGATGCACTGGGCCAGAACTAAACCAGGACTAGACCGGGACTAGACCAGGACTAGACCGAGATTAGACCGGGACTACAGCGGGATTAAACCGGGACTAGACCGAGACTAGACCGGGACTACAGCAGGACTATAGCAGGACTAAACTGGGACTAAACCAGGACCAAAACAGGAGTAAAAGAGGACTAGACCAGGACTACAGAGGGACTAAACTAGAACTAAACCGGAACTAAACCGGGACTAAACCAGGACTAAACCAGGACTAAACCAGGACTAAACCAGGTCTAAGCCGGGACTTGGAGCGTTCATTTGTATTTGATCTCTATTTTTATTTGAGTGTTTTTACCTGGAGTGTCTCTGATTGGCTGAGCAGAGGTCATGTGACTCTGGGGGACATTCTCATTGGTGGATTTTAAACACAGGAAACACAAAAATGGGCGATGCTGGAGCCTGGATCTGATTGGCTGACGCTCTGCTTGTCTGGGAGCCTCTGATTGGCCGTTGCCATGGACGACGCGCGTCATTGGTCCTGATAAAGCGCGGCCTCCGATTGGCCGAGCCCGTTGCCATGGCGGCGGCGATAGCGAGCTCTCTGATTCGTCAGAAACGAGCGGCGCGGGAAACCAACCCCGACCGAAAAACGCCAAACAAACCGCGCTCGAGCCCGACCAAAGAGCGGCGCCGCCTGTGCCCGCGCCACATCCTCAGCCTCTGCGCCAAAGTCCGACTGTGCCAACGCAAGACACGCCCCCCGACACGCAGCGGCGCAGGTGAGGGGCGGGACGCGCAGGTGAGGGGCGGGACATGGCGCAGGTGAGGGCGGGACGCGCAGGTGAGGGGCGGGACATGTCGCAGGTGAGGGCGGGACATGTCGGAGGTGAGGGCGGGACATGTCGCAGGTGAGGGGCGGGACACACAGGTGTGGACGACAGGTGAGACATGGGCGTAGCAGGTGAAGGAGGACAGGTGTGAGACTTGGCAGGTGACTTGGCCCCGCCCCTGAGCTCTGATTGGACAGACCTGGAGTGCGTTACTCGTGGGCACAGGGGCAGTAGGTGGAGTGTGTTGCTCGTGGGCACAGGGGCAGGTGGAGTGTGTTGCTCGTGGGCACAGGGGCAGTAGGTGGAGTGTGTTGCTCGTGGGCACAGGGGCAGGTGGAGTGTGCTGGGGCACAGGGCAGTAGGTGTGTGTTGCTCGTGGGCACAGGGGCAGGTGGAGTGTGTTGCTCGTGGGCAGGGGCAGGGTGGAGTGTGACAGGGCAGTGGTGAGTGTGTTGCTCGTGGGCACAGGGGCAGCAGGTGGAGTGTGTTGCTCGTGGGCACAGGGGCAGCAGGTGGGTCGGGGATTGAACCGTCGCTCTGCAGGACTCAGGTGTTTTCAGACTGTGTCCCTCAGGAGTCTATTTCTGCTGCAGGGAAAACTGTGTCAGGAATCTAACTACAGACCACAGAGCAGAACCAGGACCAGGACTAAACCAGGACCAGACCAGAACCAGACCAGGACTAAAACAGGACTAAAACAGGACTAGACCAGGACTAAACCAGAACCAGGACCAGGACTAAACCAGGACCAGCCCAGGACTAAACCAGAACCAGGACCAGGACTAAACCAGAACCAGGACCAGGACTAAACCAGGACCAGACCAGGACTAAACCAGAACCAGGACCAGGACTAAACCAGAACCAGACCAGGACTAAAACAGGACGAAAACATGACTAAACCAGGACTAAACCAAGACTAAAACAGGACTAAATCAGGACTAAAACAGGACTAGACCAGGACTTAAACAGGACTAGACCGGGACTAAATCAGGACCAGACCAGGACTAAAACAGGACAAGACCAGATGAATCTCCCGTTGCTGCGGTTACAGGCTCCGCCCGCGAGTCTCATAGCGACACAAGAGCCAATCAGGATGGAGGAGGTTAAACGTCCCGCCCCCTTCTCGCCCGAGAGCGGGCGGGAACGCAGCAGCTGTCAATCAAACCTGCGGCTGCTAACGCCTGCGAGTCGCAGGTCGCTAACTGTAGCACCGAGTCCGACTTCGACCCGAGTTTCACTTTAAAAACAGTTCAGACCAGAAAGACCCGACTGACCTGAGCTCCGACCGGCGACAGGACCTGAGCTTTAAACACGACCGTCTGAACAACAAAACAGTCACGAGCTAGCGTTAGCATTAACGTTAGCATTAGCATTAGCGTTAACTTTAGCATTAGCATTAGCGTTAGCATTACCGTTAGCATTAGCTCACAGTTTCTCGGTTTGTCAATTTTTTTTTTCGTAAACAGGTGGGGAAATGAAAACGCGCTCTTTAAATCTGCACTGTGGAACTTTTTCTTTCGTTTGTTGCCTGTTTCTACGGAGACGTCGCCGCTCTGTCCGGAATGTTCCGCGGTGTGACATTAAACATCTCCACTTTAAGTTTATTCAATCACAGGTGTTTTTTTTTTTTTAGCTCAAAAATACATAAAAAAAACAGACTCCTCTCCACAGATCTGACCTGGAACTGTCCTGGTTTGGTCTCCATGACGACAGAAAGGTTTAATGTCACACTGCGGAACATTCCAGACAAAACAACAACAACATCTCCACGGAGACAAACAAAGAATAGTTCCATTTCGCAACGTTAAATTACTTCAGGATTTTATTTTATTTTTTTTTTAGCTTTGATCCGATCTTGAAAGTTTCTTGTGAAGCTGCTGAAGATTGGACCGTAGAGGCGTGTGTAGGACCCCCCCGGTGTGACGCTCTGTATGTGTGTGTGTGTGTGTGTGTTTCAGGGGAGCAGTTAAAGGGGATCGTGACTCGTCTGTTCTCGGAGCAGGGCTTCTACCTCCAGATGCTCTCGGACGGAGCCATCAGCGGCTGCAAGGACGAGAACAGCGACCACAGTGAGGCCCTGAACGCACCACGAACACAACACCAGGCCCTGAACGCACCACGGACACAACACCAGGCCCTGAACGCACCATCAGGCCCTGAACGCACCACGGACACAACACCAGGCCCTGAACGCACCACGGACACAACACCAGGCCCTGAACGCACCACGGACACAACACCAGGCCCTGAACGCACCATCAGGCCCTGAACGCACCACGGACACAACACGAGACCCTGAACGCACCACGGACACAACACGAGACCCTGAACGCACCACAAACACAACACGAACAACACATGGGCCCTGAACGCACCACGAACACAACACAGGCCCACATGAACGCACACCACGAACACAACACCAGGCCCTGAAACGCCCTGAACGCACCACAGAACACAACACACCAGGCCCTGAACGCACCATGAACACAACACGAACAACACCAGGCCCTGAACGCACCACAAACACAACATGAGGCCCTGAACACCAGTGGTCAAACAGATGGAGTTGGGTTCAGGCTCTGTGCTCGTTTGGTGTTTGTTGATGTTCTTGTGTGTTTGTTGATGTTCTCGTGTGTTTGTTGATGTTCTCGTGTGTTTGTGTGTGTTGTGTGTGTGTGTGTTCTGTTGTGTTTGTTGTGTTTTCTCGTGTGTTTCTTGATGTTCTTGTGTGTTTGTTGTTGATGTTCTTGTGTGTTTGTTGATGTTCTCGTGTGTTTGTTGTGTTTGTTTGTTCTCGTGTGTTTTGATGTTCTCGTGTGTTTGTTGATGTTCTCGTGTGTTGTTGTGTGTGTTGTGTGTTCGTGTGTTCTCGTGTGTTTGTTGATGTTCTCGTGTGTTTGTTGTTGATGTTCTCGTGTGTGTTGTGTTGTCGTGTGTTTGTTTCTCGTGTGTTTGTTGTTGATGTTCTCGTGTGTTTGTTGATGTTCTCTCGTGTTTTGTTGATTGTGTTTTTGTGTGTTTGTTGATGTTCTCGTGTGTTTTGTTTGATGTTCTCGTGTGTTTGTTGTGTGTTCTCGTGTGTTTGATGTTCTCGTGTGTTTGTTGTGATGTTCTCGTGTGTTGTTTGATGTTCTCGTGTTTGTTTGTTCTCGATGTTCTCGTGTGATGTTCTCGTGTTTGTTGATTTCTCGTGTGTTTGTTGTTGTTCTCGTGTGTTTGATTGTGTCGTGTGTTTGTGTGATGTTGTTGTTGTTGTTGTGTTTTGTTGTTTGATGTTTCGTGTGTTTGTTGATGTTCTCGTGTGTTTGTTGTTGATGTTCTCGTGTGTTTGTTGATGTTCTCGTGTGTTTGTTGATGTTCTCGTGTGTTTGTTGTTGATGTTCTCGTGTGTTTGTTGTTGATGTTCTCGTGTGTTTGTTGTTGATGTTCTCGTGTGTTTGTTGTTGATGTTCTCGTGTGTTTGTTGTTGATGTTCTCGTGTGTTTGTTGATGTTCTCGTGTGTTTGTTGATGTGTCTCGTGTTTGTTGATGTTCTCGTGTGTTTGTGTTGTTTGATGTTCTCGTGTGTTTGTTGATGTTCTCGTGTGTTTGTTGTGTTTTCTCGTGTGTTTGTTGATGTTTCTCGTGTGTTTGTTGATGTTCTCGTGTGTTTTGTTTGTTGATGTTCTCGTGTGTTTGTTGATGTTTGTTTTTGATGTTCTCGTGTGTTTGTTGTTGATGTTCTCGTGTGTTTGTTTGATGTTCTCGTGTGTTGTTTGTTGATGTTCCTCGTGTGTTTGTTGATGTTCTCGTGTGTTGTTGTGTTCTGTGTGTTTGTTGATGTTCTCGTGTGTTTGTTGATGTTCTCGTGTGTTTGTTGATGTTCTCGTGTGTTTGTTGATGTTCTCGTGTGTTTGTTTGATGTTCTGTGTGTTTTCTCGTGTGTTTGTTGATGTTCTCGTGTGTTTGTTGATGTTCTCATGTTCTCTCGTGTGTTTGTTGATGTTCTCGTGTGTTTGTTGATGTTCTCGTGTGTTTGTTGATGTTCTCGTGTGTCTCGTGTGTTTGTTGATGTTCTCGTGTGTTTGTTGTTTGATGTTCTCGTGTGTTTGTTGAGTTCTCGTGTGTTGTTGTTGATGTTCTCGTGTGTGTTTGTTGATGTTTCTCGTGTGTTTGTTGTTATGTTCTCGTGTGTTTGTTGATGTTCTCGTGTGTTTTGTTGATGTTCTGTGTTTTGTTGATGTGTGTTTTGTTGTGTTGATGTTCTCGTGTGTTTGTTGATGTTTGATGTTCTCGTGTGTTTTGTGTTTCTCGTGTGTTTGTGATGTTCTCGTGTGTTTGTTGTTGATGTTCTCGTGTGTTGTTGATGTTCTCGTGTGTTTGTTGATGTTCTCGTGTGTTTGTTGTTGTTTTTGATCTCGTGTGTTTGTTGATGTTCTCGTGTGTTTGTTGATGTTCTCGTGTGTGTTTGTTGATGTTCTCGTGTGTTTGTTGATGTTCTCGTGTGTTGATGTTCTCGTGTGTTTGTTATGTGTGATGTTCTCTGTGTGTTTGTTGTGTGATGTTGTCGTGTGTTTGTTGTTGATGTTGTTCGTGTGTTTGTTGTTGATGTTCTCGTGTGTTTGTTGTTGATGTTCTCGTGTTTGTTTGTTGATGTCTCGTGTGTTTGTTGATGTTCTCGTGTGTTTGTTGATGTTCTCTGTGTTTGTGATGTTCTCGTGTGTTGCGAGTGTTGTGTTCGTTGTTCATGTTCTCGTCTGTGTTTGTTGTTAGTGTTTCTTTAGTTGTGTTTTACGTTGTGTTTTCTCGTTTGTTTTTTTTTTCGTTGTGTTTCTGTGTGGGAACTTTGTTGTTATGTTCTGTTCGTGTGATTTGTTCTCGTGATGTTCTCGTGTTTGTTTGTTTAATGTCACACTGCGGAACATTCCAGACAAAACAACAACAACATCTCCACGGAGACAAACAAAGAATAGTTCCATTTCGCAACGTTAAATTACTTCAGGATTTTTTTATTTTTTTTTTGAGCTTTGACCGATCTTGAAAGTGTCTTGTGAAGCTGCTGAAGATTGGACCGTAGAGGCGTGTGTAGGACCCCCGGTGTGACGCTCTGTATTGTGTGTTGTGTGTGTTTCAGGGGAGCAGTTAAAGGGCGTGACTCGTCTGTTCTCGGAGCAGGGCTTCTACCTCCAGATGCTCTCGGACGGAGCCATCAGTGCCAAGTGATGAACGCACCACGACCAACACCAAGGCCCTGAACGCACCACGAACACAACACCAGGCCCTGAACGCACCACGCAGGCCCTGAACGCACCACGGGCCCTGAACGCACCACGGACACAACACCAGGCCCTGAACGCACCACCTTGAACGCCAAACAACACAGGCCCTGAACGCACACTGAACATCAGGCCCTGAACGCACCACGAACACAACACCACCCTGAACGCACTGTGAACGCACCACGAACACAACACCAGGCCCTTGAACGCACCACGACACAACACAGGCCCTGAACGCACCACGCACCACACGGCCCTGAACGTGAACGCACCATCAGGCCCTGAACGCACCACGGACACAACACCAGGCCCTGAACGCACCACGAACACTGAACGCACCACGCACAACTGAACACCTTGAACGGACACAACACGAACACGGCCCTGAACGCACCATTGATGAACGCACCACGGAACACAACACCAGGCCCTGAACGCACCATGAACGCACCAGGACACACACCAGGCCCTGAACGCACCACGAACATTGAACGCACCATGTGTCACACACACAGAACAACACCAGCCCTGAACACACCACAAACACACACAGGCCTGAACACCATGTTGGTGTTCAGGTCTCTCGTGTGTTTGTTGATGTTCTCGTGTGTTTGTTGTTGATGTTCTCGTGTGTTTGTTGATGTTCTCGTGTGTTTGTTGTTGATGTTCTCGTGTGTTTGTTGATGTTCTCGTGTGTTTGTTGTTGTGTGTCTCGTGTGTTTGTTGATGTTCTCTCGTGTGTTTGTTGATGTTCTCGTGTGTTTGTTGTTTCTCGTGTGTTTGTTGTGTTCTCATGTTCTCGTGTGTTTGTTGATGTTCTCGTGTGTGTTTGTTGATGTTCTCGTGTGTTTGTTTGTTCTCGTGTGTTTGTTGATGTTCTCGTGTGTTTGTTGTTATGTTCTCGTGTGCTCGTGTGTTTGTTGATGTTCTGTGTTCTCGTGTGTTTGTTGTTGTTGTTGATGTTCTTGTTTGTGTTGTTTGTTGATGTTCTCGTGTGTTTGTTGATGTTCTCGTGTGTTTGTTGATGTTCTCGTGTGTTTGTTGATGTTCTCGTGTGTTTGTTGTTGATGTTCTCGTGTGTTTGTTGATGTTCTCGTGTGTTTGTTGATGTTCTCGTGTGTTTGTTGATGTTCTCGTGTGTTTGTTGATGTTCTCGTGTGTTTGTTGTGATGTTCTCGTATGTTCTCGTGTGTTTGTTGATGTTCTCGTGTGTTTGTTGTGTTCTCGTGTGTTGTTGATGTTCTCGTGTGTTTGTTGATGTTCTCGTGTGTTTGTTGTGTGTTGTGTGTTTGATGTTCTCGTGTGTTTGTTGATGTTCTCGTGTGTTTGTGTATGTTCTCGTGTGTTTGTTGTTGTGATGTTCTCGTGTGTTTTGTTGTTGATGTTCTCGTGTGTTTGTTGATGTTGTGTGTTGATGTTCTCGTGTGTTTTGTTGTGTTTCTCGTGTGTTGATGTTCTCGTGTGTTTGTTGTTGATGTTCTCGTGTGTTTGTTGATGTTCTCGTGTGTTTTGTTGATGTTCTCGTGTGTTTGTTGATGTTCATGTTCTCGTGTGTTTGTTGATGTTATGTTCTCGTGTGTTTGTTGATGTTCTCGTGTGTTTGTTGATGTTCTCGTGTGTTTGTTGATGTTCTCGTGTGTTTGTTGTTGATGTTCTCGTGTGTTTGTTGATGTTCTCGTGTGTTTGTTGTTGATGTTCTCGTGTGTTTGTTGTTGATGTTCTCGTGTGTTTGTTGTTGATGTTCTCGTGTGTTTGTTGTTGATGTTCTCGTGTGTTTGTTGATGTTCTCGTGTGTTTGTTGATGTTCTCGTGTGTTTGTTGTTGATGTTCTCGTGTGTTTGTTGATGTTCTCGTGTGTTTGTTGTTGATGTTCTCGTGTGTTTGTTGATGTTCTCGTGTGTTTGTTGATGTTCTCGTGTGTTTGTTGATGTTCTCGTGTCTCGTGTGTTTGTTGTTGATGTTCTCGTGTGTTTGTTGATGTTCTCGTGTGTTTGTTGATGTTCTCGTGTGTTTGTTGATGTTCTCGTGTGTTTGTTGATGTTCTCGTGTGTTTGTTGATGTTCTCGTGTGTTTGTTGATGTTCTCGTGTGTTTGTTGATGTTCTCGTGTGTTTGTTGATGTTCTCGTGTGTTTGTTGATGTTCTCGTGTGTTTGTTGTTGATGTTCTCGTGTGTTTGTTGTTGATGTTCTCGTGTGTTTGTTGATGTTCTCGTGTGTTTGTTGATGTTCTCGTGTGTTTGTTGTGTGTATGTTCTCGTGTCTCGTGTGTTTGTTGCTCGTGTGTTTGTTGACGTGTGTTTGCTCTTTCAGCCCTGTTTAACCTGATCCCGGTGGGGCTGCGTGTGGTGGCGATTCAGGGCGTGAAGGCCGGACTCTACGTGGCCATGAACGCCGAGGGTTTCCTCTACACCTCCGTGAGACTTTTCACTGCGTTCTTCTTCTTTTATTCTTCTTTTTCTCTCTTGTTCTAACCTTGTTCCTCATCACAAACCTGCCTGAAGCTTTGAGAGTCCTGCAGGCATGTTTGAGTCATCTAGAGATCTCTCCCAGGTCCTATTCAAACCCTCAGTGTACGAGGCTCCGCCCACAAGCCCACGTCACCCATTCTCCCACACGATGATCAATACATTTTTTTATGTATTAATTTATTTATTGCTCCTGCTGTTGTTTCTTTGGCATCAATTTAAAGAAACAACAACAAATCTGACAAAAAACATAAATAAATATTTCAAACTTTATTTACCGTGAACGAAAAGGAAGAAGATAAATCTTATAAACCTGATCAAACCCAGAGAGAAAAAAAAAAAAAAACTTTAATAATCAAATCTCTCACACCAAAAAACAAACCAAGTCACCAAAGAGAATACGTGTCATTTGTTCATTTGTTTTTCAAAATAAAACCAAAAATAAGAAAATGAAAAATTTGTCTCCAAAACCAAAATGAAAAACAAAAAACAAATAATGATTCGATTTTTCAGTTTCCGATTTTGTGTTTAAATGAAAATGGGGAAAAATTTATGCATAATGGAATAAACCAGGACTGAACCAGGACTGAACCAGGACTGAACCAGGACTGAACCAGGACTGAAACCAGGACTAAACCAGTCTCAGTCCTGATCACACGACAGTCTACATAGACACACCTCTGGGCCCATCGACACTCAGTCCTGGTTTAGTCCTGGTTTAGTCCTGGTTTAGTCCTGGTTTAGTCCAGCATCGCAGTTTAAGGCACAGAAACGAGAAATGGCTGTTATCTGTTTTTTCCATTTTTGGTTTTGGAGACAAATAACAAATAAAGTAAATAAATTTTTATCTTGAAAAACGACTCAACGACACAAAACTGAACACAGCGACTGGACAAACCTGACGTTTGTGCAGGAGTTTCATTATTAGAAGGACGCACACTGGGATAGTGCTCTGAAGGGGGAGTGACTTAGCGTAGAGAGCAAAGGGAGGGGAGACTCTGAGCGACAAAAACTAAAGTGAAAAAAAAAACAAAAAACAAACAACAACATGTGAATCTGTTGTTTTGGGGCGAATAAAACATTTTCAGTCGCTCCTCTTGACCTCTGTGAGACCAGGTTGTGTTGTTGTGCTTTTGTGCAAAGACACTTTCCCTCTTCGCTCTTGTTTGTGAACTCGTCTCTAAAATAGAAGTGATAAAACGTCAGAGTCAAAACCTCCTGATTCTCACTTTATATTTCAGTCCAAAGTCACAGGAACTGTCCCAAAATTAGACCGAACGCTCTCAGGTTACAACAGGAACTTTAAAAAGACTCAAGTTTAGTCCTGGTTTAGTCCTGGTTCAGTCCTGGTTTAGTCCTGGTTCAGTCCTGGTTCAGTCCTGGTTTAGTCCTGGTTTAGTCCTGGTTCAGTCTTGTTTAACCCTGGATCAAACCTGTGACCTTCTGGTTGGTGTGCGGCTCTGAGCGTCTGATCCTGTCACATAAATATCTGAAATGGAGAAGCTCGTCTCTCACTTCCTGTTCCCAAATATGGGCAGATCACTTTACCTTATTTGGATCTTTTCCTCCTTTGGTCCAAAGTCGAGTCCCGAGTCCCGAGTCCCGAGTCCAGACCCAAAACCAGGACCAAACCTGGACTCCAGTCAGACCAGAGTCTCATCACTTTGAGTTCTTATGTGCCACGTTTACATGAGAAATTTAATTCAGAATAAAAACTAATTAGATTCAGAATTAAAAAAAAATTCAATTCAGAGTAAAAATAAAATAAATAATTTAATTCAGAATAAAAATACATTTAATTGTGAATAAAAATAAATTAAATTCTGAATAAAAAAATATTTAATTCAGAATAAAAATACATTTAATTCAGATAAAAAAAATTTAAAAAAAGAATTTAATGCTGAATAAAAATAATTAAATTAAAAATAAAAATAAATGTAATTTGTTTCTGTCTGTCTCTCCTCTGATTGGTCGTCTCTGTCTCTCCTCTGATTGGTCGTCTCTGTCTCTCCTGATTGGTCGTCTGTCTCTCCTCTGATTGGTCGTCTCTGTCTCTCCTCTGATTGGTCGTCTCTGTCTCTCCTCTGATTGGTCGTCTCTGTCTCTCCTCTGATTGGTCGTCTCCGTCTCTCCTCTGATTGGTCGTCTCTGTCTCTCCTCTGATTGGTCGTCTCTGTCTCTCCTCTGATTGGTCTCTCGTCTCTCCTCTGATTGGTCTCTCGTCTCTCTGATTGGTCGTCTCGTCTCTCTCTGATTGGTCGTCTCTGTCTCTCCTCTGATTGGTCGTCTCTGTCTCTCCTCTGATTGGTCGTCCGTGTCTCCGTGTCTCCCCCTGCAGGACGTCTTCACTCCGGAGTGTAAGTTTAAAGAGTCGGTGTTTGAGAATTATTACGTGATCTACTCGTCGACGTTGTACCGGCAGCACGAGTCCGGACGCGCCTGGTTCCTCGGCCTCAACAAAGAAGGAACCATCATGAAAGGAAACCGCGTGAAGAAGACCAAAGCCTGCTCGCACTTCGTCCCCCGGCCCATCCAAGGTACGGCTCAGTCCACCTACGGCTCACACCACCTACGGCTCAAACCAACACATGACCCACACCATGTACGGCTCAAACCACGTACGGCTCAAACCAACACATGACCCACACCGTGTACGGCTCAAACCAAAGCACAACCCACACTGCGTACGGCTCAAATGCCACATACGGCTCAAATGCCATGTACAGTTCAAACCATGTACGACCCACACCATGTACGGCTCAAATATAAGGCACAACCCAGACCGCGTACGGCTCAAACCAACACATGACCCACACCACGTACGGCTCAAACCACCTACGGCTCAAACCAACACATGACCCACACCGTGTACGGCTCAAACCACGTACGGCTCAAACCAAAGCACAACCCACACTGCGTACGGCTCAAACCACCTACGGCTCAAACCAATGCACGACCCACACCACGTACGGCTCAAACCAACACATGACCCAGACCACGTACGGCTCAAACGGCACGTCCGACCCAGACCGGGTGTGGGTCACGTGTGGCTCTGCTCTTCGCTCGTGTTTGTGAACTCGTCTTAAAATAGAAATGATAAAACGTCAGAGTCAAAACCTCCTGATTCACTTTAGATTTTAGTCCAAAGTCACAGGAACTGGACCAGAATTAAACCCAACGCTCGCAGGAACTTTAAAAAGACTCAAGTTTAGACCTGGTTTAGTCCTGGTTTAGTCCTGGTTTAGTCTGGTTTAGTCCTGGTTTAGTCCTGGTTTAGACCTGGTTTAGATCTGGTTTAGTCCTGGTTTAGACCTGGTTTAGTCCTGGTTTAGTCCTGGTTTAGATCTGGTTTAGTCCTGGTTTAGATCTGGTTTAGTCCTGGTTTAGATCTGGTTTAGTCCTGGTTTAGTCCTGGTTTAGATCTGGTTTAGTCCTGGTTTAGTCCTGGTTTAGATCTGGTTTAGTCCTGGTTTAGATCTGGTTTAGTCCTGGTTTAGACCTGGTTTAGTCCTGGTTTAGTCCTGGTTTAGATCTGGTTTAGTCCTGGTTTAGTCCTGGTTTAGTCCTGGTTTAGTCCTGGTTTAGTCTGGTTTAGTCCTGGTTTAGTCCTGGTTTAGATCTGGTTTAGTCCTGGTTTAGATCTGGTTTAGTCTGGTTTAGTCCTGGTTTAGACCTGGTTAGTCCTGGTTTAGATCTGTTTAGTCCTGGTTTAGACCTGGTTTAGTCCTGGTTTAGTCCTGGTTTAGATCTGGTTTAGTCCTGGTTTAGACCTGGTTTAGTCCTGGTTTAGTCCTGGTTTAGATCTGGTTTAGTCCTGGTTTAGTCCTGGTTTAGTCCTGGTTTAGTCCTGGTTTAGATCTGGTTTAGTCCTGGTTTAGTCCTGGTTTAGATCTGGTTTAGTCCTGGTTTAGATCTGGTTTAGTCCTGGTTTAGTCTGGTTTAGATCTGGTTTAGTCCTGGTTTAGATCTGGTTTAGTCCTGGTTTAGTTTTAGTTTAGTCCTGGTTTAGTCCTGGTTTAGTCTGGTTTAGTCTGGTTTAGTCCTGGTTTAGTCTGGTTTAGTCCTGGTTTAGACCTGGTTTAGTCTGGTTTAGTCCTGGTTTAGATCTGGTTTAGTCCTGGTTTAGTTTTTAGTCCTGGTTTAGTTCTGGTTTTGTCTTTTATCCGTTTTTTTGTTTGTTTGTTTTTTCATTTAAACACAAAACCGAAAAATTTAAAAAAAAATCAATCATTATCAGTTTTTTCATTTCAGTTTCAGAGACAAATAACGAAGAAAAAATATGTTTTTTTATTTTTTTATTTTAAATTTTTGGTTTTATTTTGAAAAACAAATGAACGACTGGCACACAGATTGTTGCGACTCTTAACGCGGCGTTTTTCGGCGTTTTTCGTTTTTTCGGTGTTTTTCTTGGTTTTCATCGTTTCTCTGTTTGTCTTTGTCTCTTTCTTTTCTGCTCCTCACTTTTGACTTCGTGAATTCGCGTCGTTTCTGGACTCGAAGATGTTTTTTTTTCTCGGAGAAGCTTTGGTCCGAAAGTCGACAGGAAACGACCGTAACATTTGGTCGGTGTGTTTCTAACGACTGCGTGTGTCTGTGTCTCCTGCAGTTTGCATGTACAAGGAGCCGTCCCTGCACGAACTCGAGGAGAAGCTGCTGAAGTCGTCTCGCTCCCCGACCCTGAACAGCGGGCGCAGCATGAGGGCCATCGCCGCCCACCGAGAAGACGGGCGGAGCCTGAAGAGCGTCCGGAGCGACAGGAGCCAGGGAGAGCCGGAGCAGTCATAGCCACCTGACCAAACATCTGACCGACGAGGAGGAGGACGAGGAGGAGGAGGAGGAGAAGAGCCACCTGACCAAACATCTACAAAACATCTGAGCAGAAGGAGGCGGCCACGATCGTGAGGAGCCATCGTCACCGCAACAAAAGGAGACGAGGGGAGGAGGAGACCCACGAAACATCTGAGCACAAGGAGGAGCAACCGTCAAACTCACGGAGAACGAGAGGAACGAGAGGAACGAGAGGAACGAGAGGAACGAGACCAATCATCTAATCAGGAAGAAACACTGAGGATCGAACTGCCAACCTTCTGTTCTTCTGCTCCTCCTCCTCCTCTTCTTCTCGTCAGTTCTTCTGCTCCTCCTCTGATGATGTCATAACCAGGAGACACTTGTAAATGTAAACATGAATCTGAAGGTTTTGGATCTAAAGTTTTGGATCTAAAGTTTTGGATCTGAAGTTTTTGGATCTGAAGGTTTTGGATCTGAAGGTTTTGGATCTGAAGTTTTTGGATCTAAAGTTTTGGATCTAAAGTTTTGGATCTGAAGGTTTTGGATCTGTTTTGGATCTGAAGTTTTGGATCTGAAGGTTTTGGATCTGAAGTTTTTGGATCTAAAGTTTTGGATCTAAAGTTTTGGATCTAAAGTTTTGGATCTAAAGTTTTGGATCTAAAGTTTTGGATCTAAAGTTTTGGATCTGAAGGTTTTGGATCTGAAGGTTTTGGATCTGAAGTTTTTGGATCTGAAGGTTTTTGGATCTGAAGTTTTGGATCTGAAGGTTTTGGATCTAAAGTTTGGATCTGAAGTTTGGATCTGGTTGGATCTGAGGTTTTGGATCTGAAGGTTTTGGGTTTTGGATCTGAAGTTTTGGATCTGAAGTTTTGGATCTGAAGTTTTTGGATCTGAAGGTTTTGGATCTGAAGGTTTTGGATCTAAAGTTTTGGATCTGAAGGTTTTGGATCTGAAGGTTTTTGGATCTGAAGGTTTTGGATCTGAAGGTTTTGGATCTGAAGGTTTTGGATCTGAAGGTTTTTGGATCTGAAGGTTTTGGATCTGAAGGTTTTTGGATCTGAAGTTTTGGATCTGAAGGTTTTGGATCTGAAGGTTTTGGATCTGAAGGTTTTGGATCTGAGGTTTTGGATCTGAAGGTTTTGGATCTGAAGGTTTTTGGATCTGAAGGTTTTGGATCTGAAGGTTTTGGATCTGAAGGTTTTGGATCTGAAGGTTTTGGATCTGAAGGTTTTGGATCTGGAGGTTTTGGATCTGAAGGTTTTGGATCTGAAGGTTTTGGATCTGAAGGTTTGGATCTGAAGGTTTTGGATCTGGAGGTTCAGATGCAGGTCGTGTTATGCAAAGACGCGGCGGTGAAAGACTCTGGACTTGTCCCGCGGACTTGAGTGGTTCTGACTCTTCAGTTTGTTTTGTTCGATTTTCTAATGTAAGAAAAAAAATTTAATCTGATGCCAGCGTGAAGGAGAAAACTAAACCAGGACTAAACCAGGACTAAACCAGGACTAAACCAGGACTAAACCAGAACTAAACCAGGACTAAACCAGAACTAAACCAGGACTAAACCAGAACTAAACCAGGACTAAACCAGGACTAAACCAGGACTAAACCAGGACTAAACCAGGACTAAACCAGACTAAACCAGACTAAACCAGAACTAAACCAGAACTAAACCAGGACTAAACCAGGACTAAACCAGGACTAAACCAGGACTAAACCAGGACTAACCAGGACTAAACCAGGACTAAACCAGGACTAAACCAGAACTAAACCAGGACTAAACCAGGACTAAACCAGAACTAAACCAGGACTAAACCAGAACTAAACCAGGACTAAACCAGGACTAAACCAGGACTAAACCAGAACTAAACCAGAACTAAACCAGGACTAAACCAGGACTAAACCAGGACTAAACCAGGACTAAACCAGGACTAAACCAGAACTAAACCAGGACTAAACCAGGACTAAACCAGAACTAAACCAGGACTAAACCAGAACTAAACCAGGACTAAACCAGGACTAAACCAGGACTAGACCAGAACTAAACTAAACCAGGACTAAACCAGGACTAAACCAGGAACTAAACCAGGACTAAACCAGGACTAAACCAGAACTAAACCAGACTAAACCAGGACTAAACCAGGACTAAACCAGACTAAACCAGGACTAAACCAGGACTAAACCAGGACTAAACCAGAACTAAACCAGGACTAAACCAGGACTAAACCAAACCAGAACTAAACCAGACTAAACCAGACTAAACCAGGACTAAACCAGAACTAAACCAGAAACCAGGACTAAACTAAACCAGAACTAAACCAGGACTAAACCAGGACTAAACCAGGACTAAACCAGAACTAAACCAGGACTAAACCAGGACTAAACCAGAACTAAACCAGGACTAAACCAGGACTAAACCAGGACTAAACCAGGACTAAACCAGAACTAAACCAGGACTAAACCAGGACTAAACCAGAACTAAACCAGGACTAAACCAGACTAAACCAGAACTAAACCAGGACTAAACCAGGAACTAAACCAGGACTAAACCAGACTAAACCAGAACTAAAACCAGACTAAACCAGGACTAAACCAGGACTAAACCAGAACTAAACCAGAACTAAACCAGGACTAAACCAGAACTAAACCAGGACTAAACCAGGACTAAACCAGGACTAAACCAGACTAAACCAGAACTAAACCAGGACTAAACCAGAACTAAACCAGAACTAAACCAGGACTAAACCAGAACTAAACCAGGACTAAACCAGGACTAAACCAGGACTAAACCAGGACTAAACCAGAACTCAACCAGGTCTAAACCAGGACTAAACCAGAACTAAACCAGAACTAAACCAGAACTAAACCAGGACTAAACCAGAACTCAACCAGAACTCAACCAGAACTAAACCAGAACTAAACCAGAACTAAACCAGGACTAAACCAGGACTAAACCAGGACTAAACCAGAACTCAACCAGAACTAAACCAGAACTAAACCAGAACTAAACCAGGACTAAACCAGGACTAAACCAGGACTAAACCAGAACTCAACCAGGTCTAAACCAGGACTAAACCAGGTCTAAACCAGGACTAAACCAGGACTGAACCAGGACTAAACCAGAACTGAACCAGGTCTAAACCAGGACTGAACCAGGTCTAAACTAGGACTAAACCAGGTCTAAACCAGAACTCAACCAGGACTAAACCAGGACTAAACCAGAACTCAACCAGGTCTAAACCAGAACTCAACCAGGACTAAACCAGAACTAAACCAGGACTGAACCAGAACTGAACCAGGACTAAACCAGGACTGAACCAGGTCTAAACTAGGACTAAACCAGGTCTAAACCAGAACTCAACCAGGACTAAACCAGAACTAAACCAGGACTGAACCAGAACTAAACCAGGACTGAACCAGGTCTAAACCAGGTCTAAACCAGGACTGAACCAGGACTGAACCAGAACTGAACCAGGACTGAACCAGGACTAAACCAGGACTGAACCAGGTCTAAACCAGGTCTAAACCAGGACTGAACCAGGACTGAACCAGGACTAAACCAGAACTGAACCAGGTCTAAACCAGGACTAAACCAGGACTGAACCAGGACTAAACCAGAACTGAACCAGGACTGAACCAGGACTAAACCAGGACTGAACCAGGTCTAAACCAGGTCTAAACCAGGACTGAACCAGGACTGAACCAGAACTGAACCAGGACTGAACCAGGACTAAACCAGGACTGAACCAGGACTAAACCAGAACTGAACCAGGACTGAACCAGGACTAAACCAGGACTGAACCAGGTCTAAACCAGGTCTAAACCAGGACTGAACCAGGACTGAACCAGAACTGAACCAGGACTGAACCAGGACTAGACCAGGACTGAACCAGGTCTAAACCAGAACTGATCCAGGTCTAAACCAGGACTGAACCAGGACTAAACCAGGACTGAACCAGGTCTAAACCAGGTCTAAACCAGGACTGAACCAGGACTGAACCAGAACTGAACCAGGACTGAACCAGGTCTAAACCAGGACTGAACCAGGACTATAACAGGACTGTAAAGGTCTATTCATACTCATGACGTCCTTGGCTCTGATTGGTTCTTTCTGTGTTCACGGTTTCTCCGTTTCCTCGTCAGTACGAAGAAAAAATTTTTAAAAAAGTCTGGTTTTGAGTGACAGCTGGAAGAAACGGAGAGAAACTACAAACATGTGAACGACGCGACGCTGAGGGACGATAAAGAGACAAACGGAAGAAATTCATGGAGCGAGATCGACGACGTTTTGAGAAAGACCAATAAAAAAAAAGAAAAGAGGCGTCAGTTTGGAGGTCGAAAAAGAAACCTCGATATAGAGCTAGAGCGAGGGGCGGGGCTAGAGCGAGGGGCGGGCTAGAGCGAGGGGGCGGGGCTAGAGCGAGGGGCGGGGCTAGAGCGAGGGGCGGGGCTAGAGCGAGGGGGCGGGGCTAGAGCGAGGGGGCGGGGCTAGAGCGAGGGAGCGGGGCTAGAGCGAGGGGGCGGGGCTAGAGCGAGGGGCGGGGCTAGAGCGACAGGGGCGGGGCAGTTCAGCAGCAGAACATCTTTTGAAGTTTGAAATGTCGGAGCCTGAACAGATTTTGTTCTTATCACGTCAAGAACAAAAAGTATGAATCGACCTTTAGTCAAGACTGAACCAGGACTAAACCAGAACTAAACCAGGACTAAACCAGGACTAAACCAGGACTAAACCAGAACTAAACCAGGACTACAACAGGGACTAGACCAGACACTGAGCCTGGATTTAACCGGGACCAAACACAGGACTAAACCTGGGAATCAATCAGGACTGAGCCAGAACTCGACCGGTTCTGACCCTGGACTGTAGACGCCGTTAGTCGGTCTAAACCAGGACTAAAATGTGTTTGTCACCGCGGCGACTCAAAGAAAAAAAAAAATCTCCAGACGAGTCAGAACCACCCAACTCCAGATTCTGTTCGTCATCAGTCCATCGTCCCGACGCGGCGGACGTTTCCATCGTCCCGACGCGGCGGACGTTTCCATCGTCCCGACGCGGCGGACGTTTCCATCGTCCCGACGCGGCGGACGTTTCCATCGTCCCGACGCGGCGGACGTTTTGAGCTTTAAGCCTTCGTTTAAACTCTGCACTTTTCGCTCCACGCTGCTTCCTGTTCCTCGGCGTCTCTTCGTCCAATCACAGTCGAGCTTCACTGTCATGTGACTTCTTCGTTTGCATCCGACCAAATCGACGAGAAATGTTTTTCGTAACGGAAAAAGCAAAAGCAATGTAGACGCCGAACTCTAAAGAAGGACCCAACGGGACTAAGCGTGGGCCTCAACCGGGACTAAACCAGGACTTAGACGGGACCCAAAGAAGGGCCTTAATCAAGG